CCCATACAAAGTATTAAGTTTAGTCAAAAGGAGATACTGCTAAACAAGATAGTTGGAAGACTGTTAACTTATACAGATCTCTGGGAAGAGAGTGGTGATAAAGATGCTAATATTAATTTGTTTCTTTTAAAATACTAAGACCTAAAGATGTTGAGACCTGCAGCTTTGCTCTCCAGATTTATACAGGGCCCTGCTAGTTTGTTTTTTGAAAGAGAAGATGCTTGATCAGTGTTAGCACTAGAATGCTGAAAATCTGTCAGGATTTTACTTTAAAAATCTGTTGCTTATGCCCTCTGTTTTCTGTTATGGTTTCTGCATAGTGTCAGCATGTATTATCCTTAAGTAATTTAAGGATCCTTAAAGCATTATTCTTTAAACTCTCTACTATTCCCAAACAAAACAAAAATGTATTTTACATAATGTTTCCTTAAGGAATTCCTCTTTCACTCTCATTTTTTCAAACCAGCATATATAACTCCAACTGAGCTTACTTTTAATCAACACAAATTCAGAGCATTCCCTGATGGAATGAAATCAGGAAAACAATACTGGCTGATGTATTCTAGAAGCAATGGCATGGAATCAAGTCCCCAAGTGTACTTCAATTCCCTTAAACCTTTCCATTCTCTATACTATTCTTTGAACACCCTGAATACATTTCTGCCTTAGGGCCTTTGGATTTACTGTGTTCTGGAAGATTCTTTTCAGGGATATGGATATGTACATAAATCATTTGTGCAGTTTCTTTTAGCTCTCCACTTGAATGCCACCTTATCAGAGAGGATTTCTCTGATCATACTATTTAAAACAACTTCCCTCCTGCCTCACTGTCAGTCTCCTTATCTTGCTTTATTTTTCTTCTTTCTCATCTCCAACTAGAGTAAACTCCATAAAAGCAGAGATATAATCTATCTGGGTTTTGTTTCTCAGTAACCCTGCAGCCTAGATTATATCTGCCACATATTAAGCATTTTATGAATACCTGCTAACATGAAAAGAAAGATACTTAAGGCCAGTTCTTGCTGCTTTGTTGTAAGAGAACTAATGATAAGTTATGATGTGCACCTACAAAAGCCATCAAGGTCCAGATACCTTTCAGTTTAGGGTTAGATTTATTCAGTGTGGACACAGAAGGATGGAGAAAGATAATTGGATTATAAAAAGGCAGGTTTTGAATGAAAGTAAGGAAGAACCTGCTAATAATTGCAGCTGTTTGAAAAGTGTTTGATCTTTTTTTCTGTATATGTTTATATAGATTGTATGACCACTTTGGGGTAATTATAGAGGAAATCCAAGCATCTTATGCAAATTAGATTATATCACTTATAACATGAATTCTTAAAAGGTGTGATTCTATATTGACTGAGAAATTAATAATTGAGTTCGGTTCTTCTGTGAAATGCTGCCAAACAGATATATCCATATTATGTTAACACCCTACACCAGGGTTTGACACATTGTACCTCTTGGGCCCAATCTTACTGATTAACTCTTTTTATAAGTATTTTTATTGGAACACAGCCATGGCCATTTATTTACATATTGCCTATGGGTTCTCTCACACTATAATGCACAGTTGAGTAGTTGCAACAGAGATACATGGCCTGCAAAGCCTAAAATATTCACTATTTGGGCCTTTACAGTAAAAGTTTGACAACTTCTGCCCTAAAGAGAAAAATATTACCTGGAAACCTGTATTTATTCAGTTTTCCAAGTAGTTCATGATGATGATGATGATGATAACTGTTGTATCAATCAAGGTTTAACTATGATAGTGTAGATAACTTTGAATATGAAAATAGAGGGCATTTAATGCAAGGAATTGACTACATGGATGATGAGAGTCTGACTAGTTCCTACCAGGAAGATACATAGAAGGTAGTTTTCTCAGAGCCCAGAGGCTACAATCACACAGCAGAAGCTGGAATCACAGGGTAGAAGGCTAGGGAGCTGGAGCTACAAAAAAGATTCTGCTTCTGCCTGAGATGCTGTCCGAGGTACAGAGGAAAGGAGAAAAATACCCTGGCTTCTCCAACTAGTGCCTCCCATTACCTGAAGCCAACCATAAGTCAGCTGACAAAAAAGCCTGAGAAACGGAGCTTTCAGGGTTTGTTCCCCTAAAATACAGAGCAGAACAGAAGGGTAAGGAATGAGTGTAAGGACACCTAGACCCAAGACCTTCACAGTTGCTAATAGTTATTAAGTACTACCTTAGGCCAGGTACAGAGCTAAACAGTTTGCAGAATCTGTTCCCTAGGAGGTAAATATTAGTATTACCCCCAGTTTATAGATGAGGCTTAGACAAGTAAATTACTCAAGACCATGAATTAAATAAATGACCAAGTTAGAAATAATCCAGGTCTGCCTTATTCCAAAACTCTTGCTTTTAGCCCTCTCATTTTACAAATGAGAAAAAAAGTGGTTTGGAAAGATCAGAAACTTGCAAGTTTCTTATCTTTGAATGGCCAGGCTAAGTCTAGAACCCAAATTGTTCCTATTAGGTTTTCGTACATTTTAGGGAAGCAAAAACCTTTAAGGCTGTTATTGTAGCATTTAGAGAGTAACCAGAGGAGACTCCAACACTTATCATGAAAGTATCCTTGCACAGTGAAACTATTACTAAGCAACTTTTCTGTACCCCAGTTTACTTTGTTGTAAAGTAGGATTAATTATAACTACCTCAAAAGAGTGTTGAGAAAGGGTATATAGATAATATATCTAAAGATCTTTGTACAGTGTGCCACAGAATAAGTACTTAGTAAATACTAGCTTGCTATTATTATTGTTAATCTTTTTATTATGCCCATCCTAAGAGTGGTTATCACAGGAAAAACATGGATCAAAAATTTCATGAAATGTTACCAAATGCTTCATTAAACAGCAATATCCTCATATTGGACATTTTACTTTTATTTAGGAGAATTGTTAGAAGATACTAAAAAAATTGCATTTTTGTTTTGTTTGCCTTTAAGCGAATGACCCTCATGATGTTTTAGTTTCTTAACTCAAGGTCTTCTTAATGTACTGGTGCTTATATATGTGAAATATCATTTCCTCTTATGCATCCAAATAGTTCATCATCTTTCGAGGATGGTCTTTTTCCAACCATTCCCAGTATGTGAACTTTTCCCTTCCTATTCCCATGGCTTTTCTTGGCTTCATTCTTAATAGTCTCCCACTCCCTCACAAGTCCTTTTTTTTTTTTCTTAACTAGAACAGTTTCTGTAATACTTTGGTACATGTTCAAGATTTTTTTCTCAACTGATATATACCTAGCTAATCATGGACACATTTATATTTTACTTGTACCCAGCACATATAGACAATATGTAACATGCTGTCATATACTATATATATTGCTCAAGATGGTTCTTTTTTCATGGTCATTTTTCCATTTGTGTATTGTTTCTCCAACGAAGTTGACAGCCATGCTTCGAAGAACTTTGGTGATTGGTGCTTTACAGATACTTAAGTGCTGTGTGAAAACTTAGAGCTAGAGTTCAAATTGTTTGTATTTTTTTTTTTAATTGTTATTTGCTTCTAAAAGTAGTCTTGCTGCATGACAAAAGCCACTGACAATGTTAGTCCTTCTGTGGGATTCACTAAAAATAACTTGAAAAGTAAAAGATCCAAAGATTAGCAGACCAGGAAACAAAAGACCCCAAAAACATATCCTTCTGGCATGATACACCATTTAGCCTATGGTAAATATTTTTCGTTTATTTAAAGGCAAGCAAGAGGGTAATTTGACAAGATTAATCACTAGGTTTTATCACTGACATGTCATTTTAATGAGCTGAAAACATTTTAAAATGCAGGACTCATAACAGAGTGTGGACCTGCCACACTCTGAATCTGTGTGTTTTGGACTTGATATGGTGAAAATTGAAATGTAGTATATAGGCAGTAATGATCACCATGCAAATATTTGTACATTGTGGTCTATTATTACTGCATATGCTTCAGAGTGACCATTTACAATGTACTCTCCTCAGAAAACTATACAAAGCAAACTCAGAGATCTAAGGGAGGGTAGTAGAAAGTCCTCAAAACAATCTCTAAGTGTGCCTGTAACATACTTTTCATTTATTCCCAATTCAGAATTTTCTGTAATGACATATTCTGTTCTTCCGTTTTTCTCGGTCAGTCTTTGAAAATCAGTAATTTTAGTTTTTAAGTACTACAGCTATTGAACTTTAAAAAATAAGTCAAAGTAAGTCATATCACTTAAACACTGTGAGCTTTATAATTCTTTGTGAACTTAAAGGTTGAGTTTAGGATGAGCCTGTGGTATATGGAATCTAGAGCTAGCTGGATTGGCAAGACTTTTCTCTTTAAAAAAATTCAGAAGCATTTCTGAATACATGGAACATTTTCAACTTTTAAAAACAGATAATCCTCTTTTCACCCCCTTAACATCCTTCTCCACACCTCAAGTAAATGTACATGTTTTTGGCCATTTTGTATTCTATTATCTGTGATGTTAATATGTTACCTGTAAATCTTAGTAAGTCCAAATACCTTGAATTTTAAGGTGTTTATACTTGAGGTCTAGCATTTTGTCTACTTTATTCCTCATTTAAAATGTTTTTTTGTCAAGGCTAAATAGTAAATAGTTATAGTAGTGGGGGTCCAAACCACAATTAATAATCCAAAAAGGATTTTGTGTTTTAATTTATTCATCTAGGTTTTATGTGTCTTTATAAGGAGATACCTGATGAACTGACTACAAAGAGAACTATGACATGTATCCAACTGTAAAGTTATAGGGAAACTGTCTAACACTTTGTTTAAATTACCTCAGTTATATCTTTTATAGCTAAGATGACAATTCACACACTTCAGTATGAATACTGACTGTAAAACCATAAAGCAAATGCTAGAATTATAGCCACTGAATAAGGTAGTGAGTTAATTTGATGCAGTTCATTTAGGGACATTGTCCCTTGCTTTTGGTATTTTCCAACAATGGTACTATTTATGATTTTATTTTATTTTAGCCATGCCCTTTGGGTTCCCGAGATTTTCGAGAGAAACAGTGTGCAGACTTTGACAATATGCCTTTCCGAGGAAAGTATTATAACTGGAAACCCTATACTGGAGGTAATGTATAACCTGACAGAGCATTCATGCTTGAGTGCTTTGCAAATGTCAAAGAATATACAAATACATACAAACACATGCATACATTCATGTACATACTAGTTAAAATTAGTGTTTGCCAATAAAAGTAGGGAAATGCTTATAGTACTAAAAAGGTTTCATGGTTTATTTGCCCTGTAATAAGGTTGATATATTAGTACAAACTATCAGAAATCACTTTTTAAAACCTAGTTATGTTTAACAAGGTATAAAATTCCTGGAAAGGATATCTGGACATCAAAACCATGTAGTATTTTTTGAGTTCTGCTTGAGGCTTCCTTGGGACATGTGTAAGTTACATTATAATCTAAAAATTTGCAATTATCACCCTAAAACAAGTTATAAGAATATAAATCAGGAAACTCTGTGTCCTTGCTTAGTCATGGGCCAGGATTATTGTTATTCTGTTTGAGAGTTAGAAAACATTTTTGCTTTTTAATTTGGGCATCTGTCAAGCACTGATTGTTCAATAAGCAGAAGTATTTTATACTTCCAAAATACAAATTACATTTTGTTGAAAATTTCACTTGGAGGCCGGGCATGGTGGCTCAGGCCTGTAATCCCAGCACTTTGGGAGGCTGAGGCAGGTGGATCACCTGAGGTCAGGAGTTTGAAACCAGCCTGGCCAACATGGCAAAACACCATCTCTACTGAAAATACAAAAATTAGCCGGGCTTGGTGACATTCACCTGTAGTCCTAGCTACTTGGGAGGCTATGGCCAGAGAATTGCTTAAATCCAGAAGGCTGAGGTTGCAGAGAGCCAGGATCGCACCACTGCATTCCAACCTAGGCGACAGAGTCTCTAATTCAAAAAACAAGGAAAAAGGAATATACTCTTAAGTTTACTGTGCTTGCTTTTCCAATATCTTATTTAAAATAATCTTACAGTGACAACTTTGTATTTACCTCCAAGATTCTACCAATAACATTTTACTATGCTTTCTTCATACATGTCTATTCTTTTCTCTGTCCATTTATTAATCCATCTTATTTTTTTATGTATTTCAAAGTAAATTTCAGTCATTAATGTACTTTTCTCTTAAGTACTTCAGCATGGTAACATTATCCACAGTTCAATTTTTTGTTTGCTTTTATCTCTTAAGGCAAGATTACATACAGTGACATGCACGAATCTTCTATGTTTTCTCTGATTTTTGACTAATGCATACACTTAAAAAATCCTATTGCAATATGGAACATTGGCTTTACCTCCAAAATTCTTCCAGTCTTTGCCTTAGTCTTTTTAGACTGTGATAACAAGTAACCATAGACTAGAGGTCTTAAACTACAGAAGTTTATTTCTCAGTACTGGAGGCTGGAAATCTGAGATCAAGGTGTCAGCATGGTTAGAGTCTGGTGAGGGCCCTCTTCTGGGTTGTGGACTGTTATTTTTTCATTATATCCTCATGTGGCAGAAAGAGTAGGGAAAAGAGCTCTCTTGGGTCCTTCTTATAAGGCTACTAACACCATTCAGAGGGCTCCACTGTCGTGACCTAGCTACTCTCCAAAGGCCTCATCTTCAAATTGGGGATTAGAGTTTCAACATATGGGTTTTGAGGGGACACAAACACACAAAGTCCTTGAAAGTCCTTATAGTCCTTTGCAATCAATAGTTACCTCTACCTGGTCCTCCTAAAAGACAACCATCATTCTGATTTTTTTTCTCACCATAGTTTAGTTTTGCCTGTTCCAGAACCTCATGCTCTGTTGTAAATCTTCTTTAAGCCTAATGTTTTTGAGATCTATCTACGTTGTTGTATATAGAAGTGGTTCACTCTAGCCAGGTGCAGTGGCAGATACCTGTAAGCCCAGCTACTTGGAAGGCGGAGGCAGGAGAATCACTTGGGTCTAGGAGTTCTCTTAAAAAAAAAAAAAAAAAAGTAGTTCGTTCTTTTTTATTGCTAAGCAGTATTCCATCATAATAACCAGTTTTTCCATTCTGCTCTGATGGACACCTGGGTTGTTTCTAGTTTTTAGCTGTTATGAGTAAACTGCTAGGAACATTTGTGTACTATCATTTTATGAGTATATATTTTCATTTTACTTGGGTAAATACTTGGTAGTAGAATTGCTGGGCAATAGGTTAGATGTGAATTTAGTTTAGTTTTAAAAGAAACTGCCAGATGTTTTTCCAAAGTGATTGTAGCATATTTTACTCCCACTGACAATGTGTGAGGATTCTATTTGCTGCACATCTTTGTCAATATTTGGTGTTTTCAGTCATCTTCTGGTGGGAGTAGAGTGATATTTCAATGAAATTTCCATTTCCATTTTCTGATGGTAATGTTAAGCATGTTTTCATATATTTATTGGCCATTATATGTCTCTTTCTGTACTGTCTGTTCAAATCTTTTTGCCTATTTTTAATTGGGTTTTTTGTCTTCTCAAGTCGTAGTCATTTTTAAGTTTTACAAATGTTTTGTCACATTCTGTGGCTTTCCTATTGCTTTTTAAATGGTGTTTTTATGCATTTTAATTTTTCTGTTTTTAAGCTCCAATTTTTAAATAATTTTTCTTTCTGATCATTATGTTCTGTGTCCTAAGAAATCTTTGCCTACCTCTACTTAAGAAAATATTTTCTTATGTTTTCTTCCACAAGCCTTATTGTTTAGTACTTACATTTACATCTATGATCTATCTCAAAATAATTTTTGGTATGATTTGTATCTGTAGTGTATTTATGAATTTTGTTTTGTATTGTTTATCTGTCAGAGTTATGCCAGTACCACACTGACTTGATTACTGTAACTATATAGTCATGAACACAGGTAGTTTAAGTTCCACTAGCTTTGATGTTTTTTATGAGTTCTTCCAATATGCTAACTTCTTTGTATTTTCACCTAAAATTTTGAATCTGTTGTTCATGTCTGCAGAAAAACCTGCTGGACTTATGAATGGTGTTATGTTGAATCTATAGATCAATTGGGGGAAAACTGAGATATTAATCATATTGAATTTTCCAATTTTTGAACATGGTATATCTTGCAGTTTATTTAGGTCTTTAATTTCTCTCAGCTATGTTTTGTACTTTTAAGTGTAAGGTCCTGCACGTAATTTATTAAATCAATTCCTGAGTAATTTATGGTTTTGACACTATTGTTAATAAAACTTTTGAAAATTCCATTAATATTTGTATATTAACTTTGTATTCTGTGACCTTTCTAAGTTCTCATATTCCCTTTTTTTTGAGATAGGGTCTGGTTCTGTCATCCAGGGCGTAGAGCAGTGGTACAATCTCAGCTCACTGAAACCTCCACCTCCTGGGCCCAAGCGATCCTTCCATCTCAGTTCCTTGAGTAGCTGAGACTACAGGCACACAGTCTCACGTCTAGCTAGTTGTATTTTTTGTAGACATAGGGTTTCGCCATGTTGCCCAGGTTAGTCTCCAACTCTTGGGCTCAAGCGATCCACATGCCTCAACTTCCCAAAGTTTTGGAATTACACACCCAGCCTAAATTCTCATATTCGAATTGTTTTATAGATGCTTAGGATTTTTTTGATAAACAGTCATATTGTCCAGAAATAGAGACAATTTATTTGAATCTTTATGACTTTTATTTCATTGTCTTGCCTTAATGCACTGGATTGGCCCTTGAGTGTAATTTGTGCATGTATTGATTGTATTTTTTATTCTGTATCCTATTAGTATGCTGAGTGACTTGATAGATTTGGCAATTTCAAACCAAGATTTTTTTTTTTTTTGAGACAGGGCCTTGCTCTGTTGCCCAGGCTAGAGTGCAGTGGTGTGATCATGGCTCACTGCAGTCTCAACCTCCTGGGCTCAATCAAGCATCCTCCCACCTCAGCCTCCTGAGTAGCTGGGGCTACAGGTGTGTGCCACCATGCCTAGCTAATTTTTGTATTTTTTGTAGAGATGGGGTTTTGTCATATTGCCCGGTCTGGTCTCCAGTGCCTGGGCTCGAGCAGTCTACCCATCTCAGCTTCCCAAAGTGCTGGGATTATAAATGTGAGCCAACAAGCCCAGCCTCAAACCTAGCTTATATTCCTAGGACAAACCTCATGCGATCATGACATATTATTTTTTATGTATTATTGGATTTAACTTAATTGATAGTGTTTTATTAAGGATATTAGCATCTGTGTTCAAATTTGTAAATATTTTTCTTGTATATCTTTGATAAGTTTTGATATCAGACACATTCTGGTTTCCCAAAATAGAATATTTGTTCATTTTTGAAAGAATTTTAGGTCTGTCTATTATGAATAGTGAAAAAAAAGAATTTTAGGATTGATATTATTTCTTCCTTAGAATAGATTTCACTAGTAAAACCAGCCAGGCTTGGTATTTTCTTTGTGAAAAGCTGTTATTAAAAATTTAACTCCTTTAATAGAAAAAAGGTATGTGGTTTTTTTTTTTTTTTTAATTTCTTGTGGATTTTTGTTTTGTTTTGTTTTTCTTTTTTGAGACAAGGTCTCCCTCTGTTGCTGAGGCTGCAATGCAGTGGCCCAGTCATATCTCACTGCAGTGTCGATCTCCCAAGCTCAAGAGATCCTCCCTCCTCAGCCTCCTGAGTAGCTGGCCACCACACCAGGTTAATTAATTATTTTTATTTTTAGTTGAGACTACGTCTCGCTATGTTGTCTAGGCTGGTCTCAAACTCCTAAGCTCAAGGGATTCTTCAGTCTCAGCCTGCCAAATTACTGGGATTATAGGTGTGAACCACCATGCCTGGCCTTATTTCAGTTTTTGATTTTGTATCTTTAAGAAATTTATGTTATATTCATGTGGTCCAGTTTATTGATATAAAGCTGATCATAACATTCTCTCGTTATGCTGTTTAATATTAATATTTATAAAATATGTAGTGATGTATGCTTTCATTTTTGTTATTGATAATTTGTGTTTTCTCTGTTTTTCTTGGTCAGTCTTGTTTGGGATTTGTTAATTTTGTTAATCTTTTCAAAGAACCAAATTTTGGCTTTGGTACTCTTTTCTGTA